CCGTGTCTATCAGACTGGGCCAAAATAATTCTTTCAATTTTGAGGGGCGTTACAAGAGGCCCCTCCCAACTTGGACCGATCCTTGTTTTTGCTGAAATCTGATTGGCTCAATGGCGCCGATCAAAGGAGTTTACTTTCCATCTGGGAGTTTGGCACAAGAGGCAGCTAAATGTGCCAAATAAACCAACCTCTTCCTTGGTGGAAAGGTGCTGTGGTAGGCGCACATGAGGCAAGAGCCAGCACAGGCACTGCTAAGTAATGCATTTATTATATGCTGAAATTATTTATATATGCATTTATGTATAGGGATATAGGCTATATGATATATTCATATGTATTATAAACAACAGTTTAGGGAAGAAGGAAGAGGAGGATGAGGAGGAGAAGTGGGAGGAGAAGGACAATGAAACCAGAAGCAGTGACAGGTCAGTGTTAGTGTGCAGGGCTGGGTATTATGCAAAGATAGAATTAGAAATGGATTATGGTTAGTCATATTTATTACTGATGTTCTTCTGGTGCAGACGTACCTGTACAATCAGTACAAGCAGAGTCCAGCACAAGGAAAGCTGAGCCAGGGAGAAGTCTACTCTGAGGGATTTGATTTGTATGCACACACATACACACAGCTCTATTTTATGGGATTGCATTGTAGTTTTTGATTATATTTAACTAATTCAGGACTTGTTCAGTTCAGTGGTGCTTTGCTTATACAAACTTAAGAGGCAGATGTCATCCTAAAGTCTCTTGAAGGTCTTCATCATAATGTGATTGACTATATACAAGTACAACACTATATATTATAGCTGCAAAAAATCTTTCTCCGCGCCCCCACACGGCACTCACATAAAAGGCCTCTCTGTCTCAAAGTCCCAGGCTGAATTTAAGTCCCAGACCATCCCTGATTGAAAGAATGTATAAATTAGTGTTTTTCATACTGTTGGTATTACAAGATCCTTAATTTTGAATAAATATGGAATCATGTCTTGGTAATTAATCTTGTGTAATAAGTTTCCTTTATTCCTGATAAGACAAGTATACACAGAAAGGACTGAGATTATCTTCTGTTAAATAGTGTAAAAGCAAAATTGATCCCCTCATGAGGCTGCAGTATCTCAGTTGGGAAGTCTAACAAGTCTTCCTCTAATCCGATTCTTACCTCGCCACAAACCAGAACAAGACAGGCTGAACTGCAGGTGTCCCTTGCCAGCCCTGCCGTCGAGCTCTGCAGGAGATGATTAACGGTGCTGGGTAACTTGCAAATATGTTTTCATTTCCCCTGGTTAAAAATACTTTGAAGGAGGACTTAAATTCCGGGGCAGGGTAGACAGAGGGAACAAAGCCACTCAGCAGTTCTGAGGCAGAGCACCTGGAGCTGTGGGCTGTATTAAATCTGACCTGCACGACTGAGGTCTCTGTCGCTCAGCATGAACATTCAGCAAAGAATGTGGACAAAGGGTTAAATCTGTTAAACTCAAACTGCTTCACTTAAAACTGATCCTGTGTGGACAGTCATGTCATATGTTAGTTTAAGTCATGATGAAAATGTTGTTTGACCTCCCTTAAGTGTTTCTTTGTGTGTGTGGAGCCAAGTGTGTCACTTTGCATTGAAAAGTGGAAGGGACATAAGGGCTCAGATTCGGGGTCAGACGATACAATTAGCTCACAAGACATGATGAAGCACAATATTAGGTTCATGAGAACAAGACAAGAAGTTATTTTAACACTATTTTTGCAGAAATGTTCAATGGAGGGTTTGTTTCTTCTATATTTACATTGCATTGCATGTTTTCTTATTGTGCAAATAAACCTTTGTCAAAGCATTTTCATATGGTAGTTAACATTTCTTATTGCGAGTTATTTTTCAGAACATTTTAACAAATGCTTTCAAAAAGTGGTGGGGCGATGTCCCCAGTGTAAATGACACCTATGACACCTATAAAATGTTGCCATATAAAAGACACTACATGAGCTTTCATGTGATTCTACAAAAGTGGATTTTGTTGTGCAAGCATACTGCAAAGCGAATGTATCCTTCGTCTCCATTTCTGTGCTTGTTCAAAGTTATGCAAATTTGGAAGTAGAGGGTGTTTTTTTTATCACACTGGCTCACACCCTTTGTTTCCTTGGAAACATGAGAATTATGGGTCGGCTAAAAGCCTCTAGGTAGAATTTTAAGGTAGTTTCCTGACTTGTATGAAAAATTTCAGAGAGTCCCATGGCCAACTCGAGGACAAAACACTGTTCCCTTCTCATTGTTTGGTGTCTCACATGCCCCAGAACTGAACAGTAATAATAATTTCAAAATGAGCCATTTTTTCTTCAAAATTATTATTTTTCTTTTTTTCTGACCTGAATAAAACCCAGTGCATAGATTTGTTTGAAGTGGTCACCCCAGGACTTTTTTCACCACCGTCCGACAAAACTATTTTAACCATATGAATGTAAAAAAAAAAAGTTGTTTCTTTACTTTGTTAGTATCATCTATGGTTGTCACTTGTATAATAAAAACACCACTAAAATATTAAGTAAATTACATTTATTTTGCTCCATTCAAAGAAATGTTCTTTTGTGTTTTGCTTCATAGCCAGTGCCTCCCTCTTTTTCTAGAGAAGTACAAAATAAACTTGTTTGATTTGGTGATTATTGCTGGCCCTACACTAAAAGATACAGGATTAACAGAACTGATTTTGTTGTACAAGTACCTCAGCAGTGTACTTCAGTACAGAACTGGAGTAAATGTATCTGGTTACTCTCATCTCTGGCAGAAATTTGGTAAAATGTAAACTTCAGTTCAGTGTGCTTCATGTTCCTCTAAACATAAACTCTCAGTTTCCCTGCTGTGTGGGTCCGCACCATTACCACTCTATCGTGGTAGGCCAAGTACGCACAGTCTGGACAACATGACAGCTATCAAAGATACGCCGGAGATACGCCGGAGAGACAGCGTTTACATCACCATGACCACATGGCACATACAAACACAAACAAGTATTAAGATTAATACGACAGAGAAAAGCTGAATATCATTCAGGCTTACATAAAATCATACTGTGAACATTACTATCCATTACTATACAAAGAAATGTACAGTTTGTTATCCTACACAGTGACCTTCTCCAGTTTGGGGTCATACCCCAGAGAGGTCCAACCACATGTTAGACCTCTTATGAAGAAACTGTTATAAAAAAAGAGAAATCCAAATAGGCAAATTTTGGATCCAGAGGTGTCATGCTGCTCAAACTGTACTAACAACACCATTCACACATATAGAGCAAATTACAGTCCATCGTTTATGACCATATTTTACATCTGGAGTCTCTGAGACTTCAAACAGAAGTGATGCATCATTTTATGTGGCAGACTTTTGAAAACAGTTTTCAGCAGTTTTTAAAATCAGGGAGGTCATTAAGCATCAAGCTCATAAAAACAATAAAGGGCACAGGAAGTCTTATTACAATCAATGCAGTCATAACAAAACTAGCTTGATCATAAAGGCACAATAATATATTCAGTTGTCGAGACATCAAGTCTAATAAAAACGGGCTAAATATCATCAGTACTGTTGATATTAAACTCCTTCCCAACAGTAATGACTCAGTTCATCCACTTGGGGGCAGTGCTAAGCTATGGTCAGAATGATGACGCTTCTGATTTTGTTCAGAAACAACATGGCTCATCGTCAAGTCATACTTGACTAAACCTACAGTTCAGCAGTAATGCAACTTCTTTTGAATTCTGCACACATCTCTCTTCTCATATTGATTAAACTGAACAGAGCACTCTTAATCACTCCATAACATTATTAGAATTAAAATTATTATTTGATTAATGGATAAATCAATTGTCACGGCAATTTCTTTGATCAATAATTATTCATTGCAAATCGTTTTTCAAGCAAAGATACAAAACATTCTCTTGTGTATCTCCAATGTGAAGTTGTACTCTTTTCCTCGTGATTCATCGTAAAGTGAACACTTTTGGTTTTTGGACTGTTAGTTGAACAAAACAAGACATTTTGAAGACCTCATTATGGACTCTGGGGGAATCGTAACTAGCAGTTTGACTATTTTATGATAGTTAAGCCTATAGATTAAATTATTAATCAATTAATTGTTAAACTAATCACCAGATTAATCACTAATGAACATAATAGGCATATTTGGTTGCAGAAATGATGAAAGTGAATTCATAACTGTAGATGAACTGAAGAGGAAATTCAGCAATGCAATTAATTTTCAGTGGACTCCTTTGAGTTTGTTTGTGTCACATCAGCTGTCAGCCACTTTGTGCTGAAAGCAAACGTGCTCTTGCCTGCTGGAGGGGCTGAAAGGTGACTGACGTCAGACCTAGTTGGCATGCCAACTCAGAGAATGGAGCTCACATCTGAAAACAGAGCAGCTGAGGCAATTTTGGTAAAGGGAAACAAAAGAGAAGCTGCACCAATACACCATCTTTTCATGATTTTCACTTTCCACTGTCTGCCAATCCACTGCCTGAGGCTACAGGCTACTAACTTTGCAAAAGGGACTAATAGTGCTGATTTATACTGATATAATCGCCTTGAAAAGGACACTGATAAACTTATTATTAAACTCGGTAGTTTAACAAGATTTTTTAAGGCATACATCTGCAGCAGTTGCCTCCTTCCTCCCCTCCTAGGACACAAAGGTGAAAGTGAACCACAGTTGGAAAGTCTTTGTGAAAATGCAACCCATTGCCATGGTAACACTACAGGGAGTTACCCAGGAAACCACCGTCGTCATGGAGACTGCATCACAAGGTGTGTTCCGCGAGCAGGAGGCGGGACGTCCAGCACGTTCATCCACGCCGTTTTCACGCTGCTGTCGTCACTGCGCACACGACCTCAAACACACATTTATTCACACCACTTTATATTTCATATCCACCACCTGCTCGCTTGGGACGAAATTGTGATGATATTGGAAATTTAACCAAAGGTTATAATGACATTTGGAGTCGTGATCATTTGATTTCCGTTTTATTTAATATAGGCGATATAGGCAGTTCTGAATAAAAATACAATTTTACGAAAAGCTCGACATCTATGATAAGATCTACACCACTGTGTTTGTACCTGAATAATAATCTGAACAAGACTCAGAGTCCAACATCTCGACAGGTTATGATATTAAATATAACCTAAAACAGGCATTCGGCTATATTAATTACCATAGTCTATTCATTAGGCCTACATTACTGGACAATGAAACTTTTCTTCCACGAAGCACAAGACGTCGATGTTTTTTTGTGTTTTTTTGCAATAGGCTGTAATAGACTATTTTACACGTGTATCCCAATCATGAACACAAACAACTTTCGCATAAACATCAAGATATGCAGGCATCGTGTGGCACTATAGCCTACACTGCAAAAATATGATTTAACAAGCCACTACCTTTAAATGTTTTTCTGACTCCAGCTTGTGCCGAAATGAATACTTTTCCTGTGCAAATGTTTTAGGGTCATAATAATACTTTGTTACTCAATGTGAATACCCTACACACTGGAAGCAAATAAAAGGATAAATGACTTGTTAAAACGGACATTTGCGCAGCGTTTATCCACAGATATGGACTGACACATTATGATTGTCTATATAAAAAATATTATAGCTACTGTTTCTTCATGCTCCATTAATGATCCATTCTGCTGTTCCTTTACACGTCTGTGAAGATCTTTTTGATGTTCACGCAGTTCTGGTTGCTTTCGGTGGTGAAGTTGGGCTGTTTGAACGCACTGTTGATGCCCTCCTCTATCACCATGTACTCAGACTTGCTGAGGGACGAGGAGCTGCATGACCGCCTCAGCTCCTCCGATGGGAGGTGCTCACAGCTGCCTGTGTGCACGTACTGTGGGTGCTCCTCTCCATCAGTCTCCCTGTGGTAAAAGTAGTTGAAATTGGACACAATCACTGGCACGGGTAAGGCAATGGTCAGCACGCCTGCTATTGCACACAGGGACCCCACTATTTTCCCACCAATGGTCACCGGATGCATGTCTCCATATCCTACTGTGGTCATGGTGACCACTGCCCACCAAAATGCATCCGGGATGCTGGTGAAACTGGACGAGGGGTCATCTGCTTCTGCAAAGTAAACCGCGCTGGAGAAGAGAATAACTCCGATGAAAAGGAAGAATATGAGCAAGCCGAGCTCCCTCATGCTGGCCTTGAGGGTCTGTCCCAAAATCTGAAGTCCCTTTGAGTGTCGTGACAGCTTAAAAATGCGAAAGACCCTCACCAGTCTGATCACCCTCAGGATGGCGAGGGACATCGCCTGCTGGCCGCTGTTGGGTTCCTTCTCGGCCAGCTCGGTCCCCAAAGTGATGAAGTAGGGGATTATGGCAACGATGTCAATTATATTCATGATGTTTTTGGAGAATGAAGTTTTGCTGGGGCAGGCAAAAAACCTGACCAGTAACTCGAAAGAGAACCATATGATGCACAGTGTCTCTATCACGAAGAAGGGGTCTGTGAACGGGCTTGGCACGTGTGGGGCAGTGCCATTGACAGTGGGTGCCACTGTGGCTTGGTCTCTGTCATCCCGAAATTCCGGCAGAGTCTCCATGCAGAAAATAACTATTGAAATCAAAATAACAAGCACTGAAACGATGGCTATTCCCCTTGCTGGTCCAGAGCTTTCAGGATACTCAAACAAAAGCCAAATCTGCTTTTGGAAATCACGCTTGGGCAGTACGCGCTCCTCTTCTTTTATAAACCCTTCATCATCACGGAATTTCTCCATGGCCTCCTCTCCGAGTTGATAAAACCTGATCTCCTCGGAGAAAATATCAATGGGGACGTTAACAGGTCTCCGTATGCGCCCCCCTGACTGGTAGTAGTACAGGATGGCGTCAAAGCTTGGTCTGTTCCTGTCAAAGAAGTACTCGTTCCTCAGTGGGTCAAAGTAGCGCATCCTTTTCATGGGGTCCCCCAGCAGTGTGTTTGGGAACTGGTTGAAAGTTTTAAGTTGCGTCTCGAAGCGTAAACCCGAAATGTTGATCACCACCCTCTCGCAGCATCCCTGGCTAGCACGCTCATATCGACCCGCCGGCAGGTGAGGCGCCGAGAGCACGGCGGACTCCTCCAGCATGTTTTCCACCGTCATGAAGCCCCTCTCCACCTCGACATAACCCTGGCTGTCGGTCACGTTGCTGCCCCTGAGCCTTGCGGACGAGGGCGACTGGATCACGCTGAAGGTCTGGTCATCCATACAGGTGGTTTTCGGTATGGAGGGGCAAAGCGCGCCACGCCTCTCAACCAAAGCCTACAGCTTTGGAGAGCTGAGGCCGACACCACTTGCATCTCCTCTAACCATCACCTATCTCCGCGCATACACACACTGAAGCACCGCACTCCGATCTGCCTATTTCTTTTTTCCTTTTTACAAACACGCCGACACACGCCCACGGCGCGCATATGTCTGACATACGTCCACCACACGCCCAATCAGAAATTAACTTGACAATGTCGAGCACACGCCTTCATTCAAATTTGGTGGAACAGAAACACTTGATGAAATCACATCCACACCCGTTGGATCCAAGTTGGAATGTTTCTCTGTCAGCTCTCATAGATTGTATGTCACCTTGAATAAACAGACGTGAAGCTATAGATCATCCAGAGCTCTCTTAAGACATTCAATTTCATGCCTGTGTCATTTAAAGCTCAATTAAAATCAAAATCTTATTGAGTCAACTTTAAATAAAATGAAAAACATAACAGAAAATATATTGAAGAGAAAAATCAACGCGTTGGTCAGTCAGACAAATCATGTTGTCACCAGACGCTGCTTCGCTTCTCCCGCAGAAAGTGTCAGGGAAACTGACAACAGATTGCTGCGCTGTGCAAAATCAGACTATTTAAATACTCATTCTTTGTGTCTTATTCTTGTTGTTGAGGGGGTTTTACTCTCCATGGTGCTGAAAAGAAGCGCGCGCCAGCTTGTAAGTGGCTGAGTTTTTGTATGTGCACAGCTCCTGTGTGTGTGGTCGTCTAAAGATGATTTTTCCCGACAATGTTAGCAGAACACAGAAGCCCCGGGATCAGTCACCTCATTTCCACTCGGGGAAAAAAATGCCTTTCACACATGTGTTGATAGAATCGCTTCAAAGAAGCATCTCAAGTGTCGACCTTTGTTACAGCTGTGAGTAATGACGAAAATGCAAAATCAGTGTTTGTAATTCATACTGACAGGCTTCATCAAAGGCCTCTGTCACTGCCTATGGTTTTAGGAACGCATGCACAGGGTTAATTAGTTTAAATAGGATTCAATGCATTACACAAGCTCCTCTTTTTTGACATTTTTATTGTGCCAGTGTGGGTTTTAATTTCAACATGTTAAACCCAAAGGAAAAACTGAGCCTCTTTCTATCCAAATATGGCAACATCTAGTACTCCACTATGAACATACCCCCGAAAATGAAAATCCTCTTAAAGCGGATTGACACTGATCCAAAAAAACTATTAACCTCTTTTGCAGTGCCTGAAAAAATTTGTTCTGGGGCATGGGAAAACCTCTGTCTAGCAGGAATACTGTATATAAAAATAAAAGCAGACTTTAGCAGTATTGTAAAAACTGAGGTAATAAATGATAGTTTATTAGCCTGTGTTTAAAAATATCACGACTAAAAGAACTTTATTTCATTTAACTGATTCATTACTAAGAACCACACTGACAAATGGAACCTCATCATCATCATGTTGGACCTTCCTGAGCAGGACCTGAGACAGGATTTTAGAAAGACCAAGATCTGGAGTCCAAACTGCCCATATACAACCAACTCCTAACAAAATTTTGACTACCATCATAAAAGCTTGAAAGTCTTTTAACTGTTCGATTAGGTACTCTGTACATTTCTCCGACTACATAATGATCAAAGTGCCATTTCAAAAGCTTCTCTACACCGCCACATAGCAAAAAAGAAGAAAAAATAGAGATAATCAGAAGACTTTTTTAAAAACATGGGTAATTTGTGCAACTGTAATGTTAAGATCTCCTTTGTGTCAGACCCCCAAATTCTCAGGCACAATCAAATGACAACCTCCAGGTCTGAAATGTGAAGCCAATGTGGATGTGCTTCAACCTGCGTTCTTTTTCTAATGGCCGTCAGGGGACGACTCCACTGGTTGCAAAAAGAAAGAGTATATTAAAGTCTATGACAAAATGGCCCTATACTTCTCAGTTGATTTATTACCTCAGAAAACAATTTCCTAATGAGTTTATGTTTTCAATCACTAGTGTCAAGTCTTCTTTGAAACATCATGATGTTCAATTTGTAAATTCTGGTCCCATTTTCAGTGAAATAGACAATGAACTGATAAGTCACTACCATGGCAACCTATCAAGTATAGCAACGCGCATCCTTCATCAGCTCCACCCTGATTACTGCTGGTTCCAAAAAACCAAGATGGCAACAGCCCAAATGCCAAACTTGAGGCTTCCAAACACTAGTCCATAAAACAATGTGTGATGTCACAATGACAACGCCCCCTACTTTATGCAGTCTATGGGCGCAATACAGGAAACGATTTCAGTGAACTCAGTTTTATGTACAGAACTGTTCTAGAGTATCTTTAAAATATCTCATTTATTTATTTTACTTATCATTTATAAATTGCACTTATTTCACTTCTGGACTTCCTCTTCTGTCCTTTGCATCTGTGTGATAACTTGGTCATCATTCTCACTCCAGTTTTGTTTCAGTCTTGTCTCCTCTCTGCTGCTGGAGTGAGGTGGAGTGACCTTTCCTTCCTCAATCAGATCTGAGTCTCTCACTATTCTCCACAAAGGCTGAAACTCTATACTTGTTCCAAGTCCATCTTAGATATACATATTTAATAAAAGGTAAATACAAGAGTGCCCAACGTTAAAGCAAAATAAAACAAACATACACAATAGAATAAGTAGTATGCCAATCCTGCCTGATGCAATATTAGCAAGAGGGACACTGGATCCATGACCTAAATTGCTCCAACCCAACAGATTAGAGCTGAAACAATTGGTCGATTAACAGAAAATGATCAGCAACTAGAAAAGTCCAGGGCAGACTGTGTCCAGTGTATATGCATGCGAGCAGTGGAAAGAAAGGAAGAAAGTTTTTTGTATAGTATAGAGTAAGTTTTATTTAAAGATGCATAGAACAGTGTGGTATTGTAAGTGTCCTGGGTTGGTCTAACAAACTTAATAAGGAAACATGACGATAAGTCCAAACTTCTGAACACACTGTAATTTATTTAGAATATTTGTTGTAACACACCACATGAATAAATCCCCTCCCTCTCCCCTCCCAAACAATGAAGAGTTGAATCTCACTTAATTCAGTTCAGTTTAATGTGCTTTATTGGCATGAATGTTTCAGTTACCAATTTTGCCAAAGCAGTTTCCAGCAAAAAGTTTGCATTTCAATATAACGTAACAAGAATTATAGTTGTCCATAGCGGCTTCCTTGCAGTCAAGATGGTGGTGAAGATGGCAAAAACGATGATTTATTCATCTCATATCGTGCCTAACTTTACTGGATCATAACATATCCTTTATGGAATTAATCTGCAGATGCTCTGGTTCAAAATGAAACTTTCTACGGGTCAGTTTTTGAGCCATGACAGAGGCCAAAATGTGGCCTGCAACAGATTAAGTAAGACTTGTTTTTAGCCTAGCCGAGTGCTGGAAATGCCTTTTGTTATGTCATAACACATATCGTGTAATGGTGAATAGTGCCGAAAAGACAAAAGTCTAAGTTTTATGATAGGCTCAGTCAATAAAATAATTTTATCAAAAATTGTGACTCACCGCACCCACACCGCACAGAAAATATTAAGCTGGTGAATCCAGTGGTATTCTAGATTAGCTGCAGACAGATGCAGGCACACATGCAATCAAACACATGATCCACTCCAGGCTTATGCCTGGTGGGATAACTGTAATCATTTAAGTCATTTACTAGAACACATTCCAACCATTCTCTGGTTCCAGCTGCTCCAATGTGATCATTTTGGGCTGTTTCCACTACTTTCCAAAGGATTAACTGATACATTGAGAAAGCAATGGGCAGTTTGTTTTACATTATTAAAGTGCTGATTGGCGAGACAGTACATCGATCCTTCTTGATTCATTATGAACTACCTGTTACTTATGATGACATTTCTTGAAATGCATGACAGTAAATGTACCTTGTAACCTTGGGGTTAAAGACAGACTTATCAATACATCGTCTTCTCCATTGAATTTCAAATGACTGGTGGCAGAGAACTGTGTGGTAAAATGGACATATATAGATTTATGTTGCTTAATCACGTTTTTTGTGGTCTGATTATTTTTAGGTGACTGTCAGCACAACACAGTCATACCTGCTCGTCCAATCCCTGCATATAAATCTGATCAATACCTCTGCAGTGAGAAAATCATTCTGTTATTAAGAACCTCCCAGTACTTGCATCTCAGTTTTGTCTGGGTTTTCATCTCCATGGCAACAAAACATCAAGTGTTCTGTAAAGAGAAAAGGAGCGAAAGGGATAGTAAGTGATTTTAATACACACTTTTTGTAAATTCAGCAAATATTTCCTCACTGTTGACTACCTCTCTGTTTTGCGTGTGGAAGAAAGTTATATGACCAGGCAAGGGCGAGAAACCTCAGCGATTTGAAATTTGGGGGGCAGAGCTTCTGAAGGACCACTGAAGGGAGGGATATATTTGTTTGGCAGTTGAGTTCATAGATCAGCAATCCTTCTGCCGAATCACTTACTCTCCCTTTAAGTTGAAGAAGTTATCGCTTCTGGTCCAACTTGTGCAGGAGCAAGTAAACCAGAGACTATTTTTCACATTCCCACTGAGGAATGAACATGTTACATATCAGGATTAAAAGGAACCAGGCTGTTGTCTTTTGTTTTGACTTGTGTTTTGTTTGTGCATCGACTGCCAGGCCACTTATCTGACACAGAAGAATGGGCTCAGCAAAAAAGGACGGATATAAAGCTTTGACCCTGGGCTGGAGAGACACTTTTATAACGACACTCATTATCAAACAGCCTCCAGTTAAACTTATTAGCTGAAAATAAATTACATTTGAATTCCAATGGGCCATGTAAGCAGTATTTATGCTTGTAAACACAGACTGATTTTGTGTATCAGCTCAGGGTCTGATTTCAGATTCAGAGAAAATGGATAAATGGTCTTCTAGAGCACATTCAGTGAAAGTGCTTTCCCAATTCCATTGTCATGAGACTGAATGCATGTGTACCTCTGTGGGATTAAGAGCAAGAAGTCCCAACACCCTGTTATATTGTGATTCCCATGCAGATGCCATCAATGCGAGAGCATAGTGACTTATTGTCTTTGTAAACACAAGCAACAGCTTTTCCCTAGATATTGACCTTGTTGTGCAATTGCCTGTCCAATCTGACATGCATCCATATATGCTTAATAGAGTTTTTATTCCAAAAGGTCATGCAGTCCATTTTCTCCACAATTTTCTAGCTCATTCTGCTGCCTATATCCAAACCTCTGGAGCTGAAGGCAGCTAAAGATAGACTTTTTATCAGTCTGGGAAGTTAAAAAATGACTTATT